TCCCACGGGCGGGCAGGTGCTGGCGGGGACAAGGGAGACGGGGGACAAAGTCCCGCAGTGTCGGGGAGCGCAGCGCAGACAGTTACTTTTTTCACTTATTTTTTCACTTAATAAGTGAATCTGCACCAACAAAAGCTTTGTTCGGTTCTGCATAACTGTTTAAATTGCATTAAAGCGGGGTGTTGCGGCTATAGAATAACAGAAAGGACCCCGCTCTCCCCACGGCGCGGCGGCAGCATGAGTTTAAAGTGTGGACGTGAGCTGGAAATCCAGGAAACGGGCTCCTTCTCCACGCTTCCCTCCGCAGCGTTTGCTGTCTGAGTGCTGGGGGAGGATGTTTTTGTTTGAAAGTGACTGTTCTCACTGGAAATATTTGCTGAAAAGAGATCAGGAGCAGTAAGTGGGTTTCGGGTTTGTGCAAAGGGTCTAAAGTTGCCGCTTGCTCCCTAAAAGCTTCCTCGTGCCCTCGGTGCCGGGGAGGGTTGGGGTTTCGGCCGGCGCTGGCAGCCGGCGCGCCTGCTCGCTGCAGCAGCAGATTGCAGGGTTTATTTATAACTCCGGAGGAGACGTTTGAATTAAAATCTGGTTTGGAGAGCAGGGCCAGCAGCGCCGTTGCTGGAGGGAACGTCGCTTTCGCCCCGAGTGTCGTCCTGCAAGGGTGGCCCTGCCTGCCTGCCTGCCCACGCGAGTGTGCCCACGGCCTCGGCTCCCCACCTTCTGCTCCTCGGGCGGGTTTTGTTGGACTCTGTGGAGGACTGGGGCTGCGCAGGGCTGGACTGGGGGCTGCCGTGCTCCTGGTCCCATCCGCTTTCACGTGCTTGAACCCACTTGGCCGCGTGTCTGCTCGCGCGCTGGAGTTGCTGCTATTTCTAAAGCATCTCTCAGTTCCTATGTGCTGTGCCGCTGGCTGCAAAGGGGCTTCGTTTTGGGGTGGTGATGTCCACTTTGTGAAAATGGGGTGGCTACGAAGGGGACCCAGCCGATGCCACCGTCCTGCCCGGCCATCGTGCACGTGGAGCACGTCGTGATACATGCCTGTGCTGAGTGGGCGCCATGAGCAGGGTCTGAAGTGCAGTGGTCGTAATAAAAGCATAAATCATCCTGGTGCAACAGCACTGAGTTTGTCGTGA